GCTGCCGGATGCCTGAGAAACACTTCGTAATTCCCAGCACCCTCAGCACACAGAGCGAGGGAGCTCTAGGGAAGGGGGCAGGAGTGTGCCTGTCGCTGCCCTGTCCCCTTCTCTCTAGCCCTGTCCCCTGGCAGGCTCCTGTAGGGCACTGACAGGAAGGGTGGGCTCAGAGGATGGCCCAGGCCTGGAGAGAGCTCACAGGCCCTCGTGGGGCCTGTCACCTGACTTCTTGGGCACTGCTACCCCGTACCTCCCCTTCGCACTGGGCAGCCTGGCCTGAGAGGTGCCTCTGAATGTGGGAAGGGAGGACAGGGAGGGGTGGAGGCCCAGCCGGCTAGGACAGTGTCAGGCAGGGCTAGGCACTGTCCCAGCTCCCCACCCACCCTGACTTGGCGGGGCTAGGGGACGGGGTGTGTGCGTGTGCATGTGTGTGTGAGCCCACACCCACACAGAGCTCGCCTCTTTTGGCACACAGACGCTTTTGAGCCAATCCTCCCCATCCTCCCAGCCTTCTGTCCCTGCTGAAAGAAAGCAAAGGACCTGGCTAGGGCCTGCAGGAGAGGAGTCAGAAGGTCAGACAAGAGAGAATTAAGCTGCCAGCCAGATTCCCCTCCACCCGGGAGCAGGCAACAAACGGCATGGAAGCTGCCCTATCCTGTGACCTGAGTGAGAAGCACAGAACAGTCCCTGTGATGCGGGCCACTGGGCCAAGGGTTCCTAATCTGAAGGCACATCATGGGAGGGCTTTAGTCCCCTGCTGAAATTGTAAGCAAAACTAGGTGTATGTGACTCACAGCCTCATCATAGGTCAAAAGCATCTATGAGCCGAAAGAGGCAAGAGGCCTGGTGCCCGGCAGGCCCAGACTGCTGGACAGGGATTCAGAGAGGCAGGCAAGGGAGGTGGAAGTGGTTTTGCCGCCTGGTCCTGGAAGGAGAAGAAAAAAGCTTCTATGTAGTGAGTGGAGGGAGAGTAGAACGGCCTGAATAGAACTTGGATCCTGGAGCCTGGCTTCAGGGATTCCAGTCACGGCTCTATCACTTAGCCGCATGACCTTAAGCAAGTTACTCCCCTCTGTGCCTCAGTTTCTCTGCCTGTAACATGGGGATTAATGACAGCACCTTGCTTGAAGGGTGGCTTTGTTAACACACGTGGTCCACGTGGCATGGTGCCTGGCGCACAATGAGCGCTCAGCACGTGGTGGCCGAGATCACAGGCCGTGCCACTGGATGGGGTCGGCAAGTCGCTCTGCCTGCCTTTGCCCAGTTAGCCAGCACTGAGGGAACGGGTAAACTTCCCCTTCCTGGTTCAGTTCCTGCCTCTGTAAAATGAGGCCCCTTTCAGCCGTCGGTTCACCAGGTGTCCATTCTCTCACCCTCACCAGTGAGGGGGCGTAAGTTTTTAGGGAGAAGCCCCCATTTCCTGGGACTGGTTCTGAGGCTTGCACAAAAGAACTGCTCCCAGGAAGCACTTTCCCAGGACAAGCTGGAACTCAGGCCTGCCCAGCTAGCCCAGCCCACTCCAGGGGCCCCGGAGCCTTTGGCCAGGCCTGCCTGGGGTCTGTGCAGCCCCTGAGTCATGTTCTGCCCAGACCAGATCCAAACCAGAGCCTGGGAGGGCCTGGCAGGCGAGGATTTGCCCTGGTCCTTGAGGGGCCCGCAGCAGATAGGTGGGGGGAGATAAGGATGCCGACCAATCAGAATGAACTCAGCTGGGACCACATTAACTCTTTAGTTGCTGCTTTTGAGGGTGGTCCAATGTAGGGGAGGGGCAGGACAGCAGGAACCACTCCAGGGGCAACAGCCATTTCTACTCTGTAGAGAAGTATTTCCGTCGTGTTTTTTTGTTTGTTTGTTTTTGAGACAGAGTCTTGCTCTCTCGTCCAGGCTGGAGTACAGTGGTGCCATCTCAGCTCACTGCAACCTCTGCCTCCAGGTTCAAGCAATTCTCCTACCTCAGCCTCCTGAGTACCTGGGATTACAGGTGCATGCCACCATACCTGGCTAATTTTTGTATTTTTAGTACAGACGGGGTTTCACCACGTTGGCCAAGCTGGTCTCGAACTCCTGACCTCATGATCCGCTCACTTCGGCCCCACAAAGTGCTGGGATTACAGGAGTGAGCCACCACGCCTGGCCGTATTTCAGTAATTTTTTTTTTTATTCCCATTTTACAGATGAATGTTTTAGTATTTTACCGACTGGTAGAGGTATGTCAACTCTGGGCCCACACTGCTATGAATCTGGGTATGTGTGTTGAGGGTAAGTGACAGGAGAGAATCTAATTAACCTCCCAATATAGAATATTTCAGGCTGGGCATGGTGGTTCAGCCTGTAATCTCAGCACTTTGGAAACTGAAGTGGGTGGATCACCAGAGGTCAGGAGACCAGGTGAGTCCAGCCTGGCCAACATGATGAAACCCAGTCTCTACTAAAAATACAAAAAAAAAATGCTGGAGTGGTGGTGTGGGCGCCTGTAATCACAGCTACTTGGGAGGTTGAGGCAGGAGAATCGCTTAAACCTGGGAGGTGGAGGTTGCAGGGAGCCGAGATTGCACCATTGCACCACTCCAGCCTGGGTGACAAGAGCAAAACTCAGTCTGGAAAAAAAAAAGGAATATTTCAAACTGATTTTATCTGCATTTATGGGTGCAATCACTTCTGTCAGAGTTTTATGCATTCTCTGGAAACAAAGTTAGGGGCTGACTCATTTTTTTTTTCTTTGTTTTTAAGACAGGGTCTCACTCTGTCACCCAGGCTGAAATGCAGTTGTGCAATCATAGCTCACTGCAGCCTCAACCTCTGAGCTCAAGCCCATCCTCCTGCCTCAGCCTCCCAAGTAGCTGGGAGTATAGGGCACACACCCACAACTGACTATTTTTAATTTTTTGTAGAGATAGGGTTGGGCTATATTTGCCCAGTGTCTTGAATTCTGCCTCAAGTGATCCTCCCACATTGGCCTTCCAAAAGTGCTAGGATCCAGCTGACTTATTTGAATTTATACCTGTTGTTGGTTTGTTTGCTTTTTCTATTTTATCTATATTGTTCCACAAATTGCTTTTATAAGCAGAAAATAATATTTAAAGTTGTGTTCCAGAGATCTGTGTGCTCAGCCCTCCACAGAGAGGCCTTAGAAATGCAGCAGGAGAATGTAAGACTGCCTCTGTCCCATCTAGAATCTTAGGTCTGATTGTTGAGGTTGGACATGCAGAAAAAATTGTGATGGGAGAGGAGGTGGTTGTGCCAGGCAGTGCTAGGCAGGAGTATGGGGACCCAGATGATGTGTGGGTGCTAGCTGGGCGCGTGGCTCACGCTGTAATCCAGCACTTTGGAGGCCGAGGCGGGCGGATCACAGGTCAGGAGATCGAGCCACGGTGAAACCCCGTCTCTACAAAATACAAAAAAAATTAGCCGGGCGCGGTTGTGGCGCCTGTAAGTCCCAGCTACTCGGGAGGCTGAGGCAGGAGAATGGCGTGAACCCGGGAGCGGAGCTTGCAGTGAGCCGAGATCGCGCCACTGCACTCCAGCCTGGGCGACAGAGCGAGACTCCGTCTCAAAAAAAAAAAAAAAAAAAAAAAGAATGTGTGGGGTGCCATGAAGTCTAACAGACTCCTGAGAGCTCAGCCAGGCAAGGCCTTTCAGTCCAGGCAGTACTAACCCTCATGGAGGCAAGAGGATGCCGTGACCCCGGTGGCAGCATTGTGCCAACCATGACCCAGGTCCGACAGACAGGAGTGAGCCTCAAATCTAGGAGCCTGGTGTTTAGACTGGCTCTGGCCTGGGCTGTCTAGTACAGCAGCCACTGGCCACAAGCAGCCATTGAGCACTTAACATGTCTCAGTCGGAAGCGGGATGTGCTATATAAGTAGTACACCAGATTTTTTTTTTTTTTTGAGACAGAGTCTTGCTCTGTCTCCCAGGCTGGCGTGTAGTGGCCTGATCTCGGCTCACTACAACCTCTGCCTCCCGGGTTCAAGCGATTCTCGTGCCTTAGCCTCCTGAGTAGCTGGAACTACAGGCATCCATCACCACGCCTGGCTAATTTTTTTTTTTTTTTGTATTTTTAGTAGAGATGGGGTTTCACCATATTGGCCAGGCTGGTCTCAAACTCCTGACCTTGTGATCCGCCCACCTCAGCCTCCCAAAGTGCTGAGATTACAGGCGTGAGCCACCGCACCCGGCCCAGGTTTTAAGACTAGTATGAAAAAAAGAATGTAAAATAGCCCTTTAGTATTTTTTATATTGATTAAATGTTGTTATGACACTTTTTTTTTTCTTTTGAGATAGAGTCTTGCTCTGTCACCCAGGCTGGAGTGCAGTGGTGTATCTCAGCTCACAAGCTCCGCCTTCCGGGTCCACACCATTCTTCTGCCTCAGCCTCCCGAATAGCTGGACTACAGGTGCTTGCCACCACACCCAACTATTTTTTTTTTTGTATATTTAGTAGAGACAGGGTTTCACCGTGTTAGCTAGGATGGTCTCAATCTCCTGACCTCGTGATCCACCCATCTTGGCCTCCCAAAGTTCTGGATTGTAGTGTGAGCCAGCATGCCTGCCACAGTGACACTCTTTTGAATATACTGGGTTAAGCAAAATATATTTGTCTCCTGCAGTGGGCAGGGAGCTCCTTGAGAACAGCAACGCTGGCCCAGTCATCTCTGTATCCAGCACCTAATGCAGGGCCTGGCACAAAGCAGACAGTCATCAGTGACTGTGGAAAATGAACCCTGCTTGGCTGAGGGTACCCACTGCTGTATCACTCCTGCACACAAGTTCTCCATAACTTCTCCTTGGGCTTGGCCCTGAACGAGCTGGCATCCCTAATCCTAACTTCCTGCTGTGAGCCTCGGCCATGCCTCCTTCCAGTAGCCCCCCTTCCCACCGGGTCAGCATCAGGAAGGAAGGGGTGGGTGGAGGGTGCAGCTGATGTCCACTCAGGCTGGGGCAGGCCTGGGTCCCCACCCAGAGCAGACCCTCCAACCTCAGAGCAGAATCGTACTCACCAGCGGAAGGAAGGTCAGCAGGGGCCGGACTCTTGGCCGAGCTTTCAGCGTGGCTGTTCCTGACTCGCTCACCGTGTTAAACCGATTGTCTCCATAATAGATGCCATCTAGAGAACACAAGTGAGGGGACACTATAAGCTGGAGATCCAAGGCATCCGGTCACCCAAGTTTAATCTGCCCTTCAGCTCCCAGTGAGGAAAGCCAGGGCCCGCGTGTCCCCCAGTGTTGGACTCAGCTAAGCGCCTCTGACATAATCAGATCTTATGGATGAGATGTGCGCTAATGGGGCCAGCTGAGGTGGCGCTGGGTGAGGGACTCGATGTTCCTGGGGCTTTCAGCCCCCTGCAGCCATCTCTCTCCCAATCCACAACCACCACCCTGCATTGATCCTGAGCCTTCTCTCCCACAGCAATGGTCCCTTGTTTTCGGAGCCCAGGGAGCCCGGCTAAGGGCCCAGCCGAAGCTTATCTCTGAGAGAGGGGGGAAAACAAGCCGGCTTTTCCCTCGAGTGTTTAAATTTCTAATCTGAAACATGCAGAGCAGATGAAGCCACCTGCTGCCCCCAGGGGCCAATATTCCATCATCTGGACTCCTTAACTCAAGATTTCCCTGACTACCAAACCACAGATGCTTGTGTACATGGCTTTCTTTAACGAACCCTGGAGGGCAGAGCAGAAAAAACGGTACGGTAGGTCAGTGTGACCTGGTTAAAACATCCCAGCTCTGCCGCTGACTGCTCACATGGCTTAACCTCTCTGGGTCTCAGTTTTCCCATCTGTACAGTGGGAGTGATGACAGTGCCGTAGAGCACTGTCGTGAGGAGTGAGCGTGGCCAGGCAGAGTAAGTGCTCAGCAAACATGCTTGTTTCCCCTGTAGGAAGATGATATGAAGGACCTTCCTCTTCCTCCAGTTACTGAGCCTGTGCTCCGTGCTGCTCTATGGCAGTGGGAGGGTGTAGGGGCCACTCACATCACATCACATCCCTTTCTCAACTCCCTCATGACTGTTGATACACACTGACAGAAATTCACACTCCCTTGGCAGGGATCGCTGTGGCCCTCCTGCTATGTGGCTTGTGAGCAAAGAGGGCTTTCGTCCATTTAACGAGGTGTGGAGGACTTCCCCGATAGCCAGAGAGGAGAGAAGAAAGGTCAGAATCCCAGTTAGCCAGAAGTCTCACTGGGACATTGAGTTAATCATGATTACTTTTCTCCTTGTACGTGACTTTAGGAGAAAATTGCAAGAAAGCCAAATGATTTATTCGAAAGAGACTGGGCTTGTTAGGAAGATCCTGGGATCAGACTACATCCATCCCAAATCCCAGCACCCCATGTGAGCATCTGGGCTTTGGATGTGACAGGGAGATTCCTGGGAGGGCTCCAGCAGCTGGAGGTGGTGTCCTCGGTGTGCAGCCCTCCCAAGGCAGGAAGCTGGCTGGGACACTCAAGCTTCTCCATCTCTCAAATGGAGCCCGAAAGTTGGGTTCTCTGTGTGCTCTGCGCATCTCTGGAAATTCCAGTTCCCAGCACTGCCCTGCCCCGTGCACTCTGGGCAAATATGATTTTCCAGTCCCAGTTGCCAGGCTCCATGCCTGAGGCTGCAGACCAAGATCGGACGGGGCATGGGGGAGGGAGCTGTAAGATCTGACCCCATGGGAAACAAAAAAAGTAGCTCACACCCAACAGCTACCACGAGAGCCCCCGATTCCCTCACTTCCGAGAGTCTGCGTGTTGACACCGGGATCTCCTGGAGCATTCTCTAGAGAGTGCTGTGTGGATGCCAAGGCCCTAGACCTGACGTGATGTGGCTACCTGGACCCTTAACAGGACTGGGGGTGGGTGAGGATTGCCACAGGGACTGCATGAGAGCCACGCTCCTAGGCAGGGCTCTAATCATTTCATTTCATCTCTGCACCGATGTTGGGATCTAGGGAGCCTCCTTCCTACAGTTGAGTTATTGTCATATTAATGGCTACTCTTATTGGGTGCCTACGAGCTTTAGAAGTGTTATATCTGAGCAACTTGGCAAGGATGATAACTGTAATAGTAATAATAATGAAGGGTAAAAACTTACTGAGCACCTTTTTTTTTTTAATCTTTATTTTTGAGATGGAGTCTTTTTTTTTTTTTTTTTTTTTGAGACGGAGTCTTGCTCTGTCGCCCAGGCTGGAGTGCAGTGGCGCGATCTCAGCTCACTGCAAGCTCCGCCTCCCGGGTTCCCGCCATTCTCCTGCCTCAGCCTCCCAAGTAGCTGGGACTACAGGCGCCGCCACCACGCCCGGCTAGTTTTTTGTATTTTTTAGTAGAGATGGGGTTTCACCGTGTTAGCCAGGATGGTCTCGATCTCCTGACCTCGTGATCCGCCCGTCTCGGCCTCCCAAAGTGCTGGGATTACATGCTTGAGCCACCGTGCCCGGCCAGAGTCTTTTTTTTTTTTTCTTTTGGTTATATAGATGAGAGGTTTCTATGTTGCCCAGGCTGGCCTTGAAAGCCTAGTCTCACCTCCTTATGCGCTGGGACAACAGGCCTGAGCCACCGCAGATCCCCTTGCTCTGTCACTCAGGCTGGAGTACAGTGGCATGATCTCGGCTCACTGCAACCTGTGCCTCCTGGGTTCAAGCAATTCTCCTGCCTCAGCCTCCCGAGTAGTTAGGATTACAGGTGTGCGCCAGTGCCACCATGCCCAGCTAATTTTTGTATTTTTAGTAGAGACAGGGTTTCACCATGTTGGCCAGGCTGGTCTCAAACTCCTGAATTCAGGTGATCCACCCACCTCGGCCTCCCAAAGTGCTGGGATTACCGGTGTGAGCCACATGCCCGGCCTACTGAGCACCTGTAATGATCCGGACACTGTTCCAAGCACCTTACACATTATTCATTCATTTAATTCTCAAAACGGCCCCATGCAAATTGGTACGGTCATTATCCCTGTTTACAGATGAGGAAACCGAGGCACAAGGGGGTCAAATAACTTGCCCAAAGCCTCAGAGTAAGTGTTGAAGCCAGGGTCTCCCTCAAGGGCCTGACTTCTAAACCACCATACACACACCCCTAAAGGGAAGAGTCATAACCCCACCGTGTACAGGGCTGAGGAAGGCTTGGCTTGGCTCTGGCCAGCGAGCAGCTCTGGGAAGCAGCGGGAGGTGACGCAGCTTGTTTGAAGCCTGCTGGTCAGGATGGAGTCGGATCTGAACTGTGGCTGTCTGACCCTCAAGCAGGCGCTCTAACCGCCTCACAGATCCCATGACTCAGCCTTGACTCTGAGCCACTGTTGTTTGCTTCCTTTGTGGTTGTTTCAAGCAGTGAAATCCTTTCTAAGAATATAACTGTTCTCTGTAAAACATATAGAAGGGTAGTGGCTGTGGTTGAGGCCGGGCTGGAAGGCCCAGGTGGCTCCTCTCCCCACCAGGCACCTCTGGAAAATGAGATTTGATTTCCCAGTCTGAAGAGGAGTGGGTAGGAGTCAGAGAGGGAAACATGTTACGGAAGCAGAGGTGGGGTGATGCGCTGTGAGAGGGGCTCGGCCGCCACGGCTGGCTTTGAAGATGGAAGGCGGCTACTGGCCAAGGACTGTGGGCTGCCTCTAGCAGCCAGAACAGGCGAGGAAACAGACTCTCCTGGAGCCTCCAGAGAGGAACAAAGTCTTGCCAACACCTTAATTGAGCCCACTGAGACCTGTGTCAGAGTTATGACCTGCAGAATTGTAAAATAGTAAATTTGTTATCAAAATAAGAAAAGGGGCTGGGTGCAGTGGCTCACATCTGTAATCCCAGCACTTTGGGAGGCCGAGGTGGGTAGATCACGAGGTCGGGAGATCGAGACCATCGTGGCTAACACAGTGAAACCTCATCTCTACTAAAAATACAAAAAATTAGCCAGGTGTGGTGGCACGCACCGTAGTCCCAGCTACTCAGAAGGCTGAGGCTGGAGAATCACTTGAACCAGGGAGGCGGAGGTTGCAGTGAGCCGAGATCGCCACTGCACTCCAGTCTGAGCCACAGGGTGAGACTCTGTCTCAATAATAATAATAATAATAAAATAAGAAAAGGAGGTGTGGGGCTGGGCGTGGCGGCTCACGCCTATAATCCCAGCACTTTGGGAGGCCGAGGTGGGTGGATCATGAGGTTAGGAGTTCAAGACCAGCCTGGCCACTATGGTGAAACTCTGTCTCTACTAAAATACAAAAATTAGCTGGGTGTGGTGGTGGGCGCCTGTAATCCCAGCTACTCAGGAGGCTGAGGCAGGAGAATCGCTTGAACTGGGAAGCAGAGGTTGTAGTGAGCTGAGATTGTGCCAGTATACTCCAGCCTGGGTGACAGAGCGAGACTGTGTCTCAAAAATAAAATCAAAAAAAGAAAAGCAGATGTGGCTGGAATCAGGCCAATTCTCGGGGCCCTCAGTCCTGGCCCAGCTCCTGCTGGGTGGGGCACAGTATGAGGTGAGGTGCATGGGTCCATCTCCATCAGCTAGATCCTCAAAGCATTCAAGGTCAGGACTGGGGTCTTCCCAGCCTTAAGGTCAAGGCTCAAAACTTGACAGACAACAGAGCTCAACCTTGGGAATTTCTTATTGGAAGTGACGAACATTGCTCAGATCACAGGTCAGGGATGCTGAGGCCTTCCTGAGAAGCAGCTCCCTCCTCAGTCGAGAAGCTAAAGGAGGGCTAGGAACATCCTGGCGTCCCTTGAGGAAGGAGGGATGAGGAAGAGGTGAAGTGGGTGCCTGGAGAGGAAGCTGGATGATTTGCTCTCAGAACAAGCTGCAATGAGAAAGAGGGGCACAGCCCCGTGTCTCATCCACTCTGAAACTTGCAAACTCCCTAGATGTCTGGCTTTTTCTGGAAAGGTCTTTAGGGATCTCAGAGGTTTTATGCTTGCCACATGCACGGACCAGAGAGGTAGCACTGGAACATCCAGGTGAGATTCAGAAAGCTGGAAAAGGAAGGCAGATGCCCCTGGACCCAGGAGCTTCCAGAGAAAGAGAGCCCCAGGGCAATTCCAGCAGCCGGGAAGCCTTGTGAGACCCCAGCAGCAGGTTCTGAGCAAGGCCTGAGCCCCAGATGGACCACAGTCCTGTCAAGATACAAACTGAAGCTTCTGACAAACTC